TTGTATCATTGAATGATATTCCTAAAATATCAAGTACAAATTGCTTACCAACAAATGTGTATATTTGACAGAAAATGTGGTGTTTAAAACTTAACTATAAAATATAGATACATGTAACAAGATTTCCACAGAATTATATGTCTTGACTGTCCTCGCGTTAAGCATCAAAAGCAAATAGTTTGAGAGTCAACGCAAAATACAGACACTCAGCATTCGTAATGATGGACTTTACTGATGTTTATTTATTTTAATAATATATTTATCATCCAGAATATGAGTTTAAAACATTTTGAAAATTTTAATGCAACATTTTTGCACATCATTTTTCTTATTCTTGTATACCAAACATTTTCATAGTATAAAAAGTGGTCTTATTTCAAATATGTATGCAAAACTTCAATCCAAAAAAGTGGTGGAAAGTATTCATTTCGCACAACAAAGTACCCTATGTACCCAAAGAGGTGAAGGTATAAGACACCTCCCTGGCGTCCACCAAAAAGCAATGTACCTTATACCACGTAATTGGTCATGAAATTCGATGCAAGCCTACAATAAACCTTTTAGTGCATGTTAGGTCACAACAAAATCAAAATTCAAATAAAGTTTTTGTTACCAATCAATTTTAAGATAAAATGCAATATCCCTGTCACTTTTTAGAATTTGTTCTTATACTTTTTATCATTTATCAAATGTACAGGTACACAAAATGTAATAAAAATCCATAATATGAATGGCTTTGGTTATACTGACTAAAAGTGACATAGATTGTTCAAATGCAGAAGTTAGTATTTGTCCGAAGTGCTACATAAGATATGTGGACATATTACAAATGAAAATCTGAAAAAGAACGTCTTGAAGATGAAACTACTGGAACATTTAGATCACATTCTGATTAATTGTGATAAATTTATGCAAATGATTTAAATGTAATAATGCCAAAAATATTCGACACTCATTAGGATTATAATTTGTGCTTTTGATAAACAAAAGAAAATAAAGTTCAGTTAAAATATGATGCTATGTCTCGAAATTATGATAATGATGAATCCAGGAATGCATTAAGAGATTCATAACTGCTGGAGTTGTTTCCCTTTGTCTTGTACCAAGAGAATATAATCTAACAATACAACATTGACTGTCCACATGCTTATATACATTTTTTAATTTTAGAGAATTTCAGGTTTGTCACGAGCAAACAACGAAAAGAAACCGAATGACAAGGCCGCTTAATTGGCGTACAAAAAGTATGACCGTACAGACGAACTGTGGTCAACGTTCAAATATAGTCAGTACACGATAATACAATGATACTGACTAGGAACTCTTACTAATTTTTGCAGTATGATCGTACAGACGGACTGTGGTCAACGTTCAAGACAAATATAGTCGGTACACGATAATACAATGATACTGACTAGGAGCTCTTACTAATTTTTACATGGACATTGTATTATCATTAATAAACGATATGGTTCTTGTAATATTGTGTAAACAGTAATGCTTATTCCAGCTGCTCTGTCACGTACATGTATGTTATATAAAGTAGTTGGAAATATATCATTCATATTTGATTATTAACCTATGGTACTGTTGAACCATCGGCTAAAATGTAATTAAAGCAACATCGGATTTATGGAATTATGATTCGAGGGTCATTCAATAATTCTGTTACTAGTGCCATGAATCACAAGTATATTGTATATAATTTGATCTTTCTATTAATTAATACTTTTGTAGTATTCGCAACCGCGCTATCAATTATGTAAACGCTTCGCGGTAGTCGCCCTTTGATATACTGGCAAGACACTGGAAGACTGTACTTCTCAGAGCACTCCTATAGGCATACTGTTTCCCAGGGAGCATTTTCTTAAGTAAAAGAAACAGGAAAACGTCACACGGTCTTAGATCTGGTGAATACAGTGGACGATTAATCTGTACTACCATCTCTTGCTTAAAATGTCTGTAAAATACTTGCTTTTGTGGGATGAGGCATTGTCGTGAATTAGCCGGATGCCATTCAACCCTTTACTTGGACATGTAATAATATCTTTTGACAGGCTTCAGTACTGCTAGAAAAAAATGGCATACAACACTTTCTTGGCGCTTTTTATACGTCTTCCAATCACTGGTCTTCAGGTCTCGTCCCCTGTAAGTAACTCAGATAGCTTTCTTGAGTCACAATTACCGTACTTTTTTAATACATCTTTAGCACATTTCAAACGCTTTGCCTTTTGTTCAGATGTCAGCCAATGGGGATCCATTGGGCACAAAGCTTCTTTAATTTCAAGCACTTGGTCAGAATGTGATCTGAATCGCCTTCTGAAATGCAAACCATTGGGCAATCTCGGAAACAGTGTAGCGATCATCATCCTTAATTATTGCTTTCACAGCACCAATGTTATTCTTTAATGCTTCAACAACTGGTCTGCCTTGCCGTGTGTCCTCTTTGCCGTCAACTTTATCATTTCTTGAATTTGTTCATCCACCCGAAAACAGTTCTCAATGTGACAACAGATGTGCCTTCTTTAGCATTGACACGTAGTCACTAGCCACGAATGCATACCATACAACAATAAATAACCTGTTCAATTCGTGTCGGATGACGTCGAAATTGTGCACTTGCATTGCTCTTTAAATGCTTTTGCAGTATGTCAAGGCGCTACACTATTTTAATGACCGTTCGTACGGGAGCTGTGTAGTGACAAGATTTATTAAATGGTCCTCGTACCATGAGAGAATGGTATACGTATTCTTATGCATTATTTGCCTTTTTTATATTACATCCCCGCGACAGTCAATGTCATATGGAGTTTGGTCGGCTGATGATGTGGCCGTTTTAAAGTGCCAGCTCACCGAAATGTCATACATTGTACCTTTGACTCGGTGCTGATGACACGACTCTGAACACGATAGTTGATAAACCTTGAGAAACGAATAACATTATGGGTCAGATCTACTAAAACATACGGAATGGTCCAAATCTTTGTTAGTCAATTCCAATCATAAAAAAACGGAAAGCATGACTCTAAGGAAAAACAAAAGAAAATATTAATTCGCCCTTCCTTATTCCCGTATTTGTTCTGTTGTTCTTACTACTTTATTACCGTAGCTTATGTTGAAGTGATTGAGTATGCAACACATTTACAGAGGTGTTATGACACTAATGTTTGTTTCCTTTTCTATTTCATATAATGTAATGTACAATTTGTATTTCAATGTATTGTCAAATGAATTATTAAAACAAGGTTTACACCAACTTGGAGACAGTAGCATGAATTGTTTTGGTTTCATTTGGGTTTAGCGACCTATTAACGGCTAAGGTAATTCAAGAATCCATTGCCTTCCTCACCTTGGCGAACGCTCAACATTAAAGCCAAAAGTGAGGTGTTGACAAGCAAAGCGCTAGGAAATAACAGTTAGTTAGAAGTTTTGTGTCCCCAAATAGAGAACACCAAAGCAAATTCCCAATTCTGCAGGGGGTTTCCGAATTAATCGCCTCCTACGATACATGCAGTGGGAAACAGCATGAGTATTCTTTTCCCGACCCCCACCTGCAGGGACATGGCGTGGGTATACTTTGGACTAAGAACGTTGATCATAATCACAGCTATGGTCATATAATGACGTGACAGGTTTTGATGGTGGAGGAAAACCGGAGCTCCCGGAGAAAAACCACCGACCAACGGCCAGTACCTGGCGACTGACCAACGTAGGTCTCGAACCCGAGACCCAGTGGTGGAGGGCTAGTGGTAGCAGAATGTCAGACGCCTTAACCACTTGGCCACCGCGGCCCCCTCCAAAGGTAAAGACGTCCAACTGGATGAATTACTAGAAGTCCTGGAACAGCTGCACAAAGGACCTGTTACAGAAACAAAAGAATTTTGCCTACAAAGCATTTTAACCTTAACTGGGTTATATTTGTAGCTTCCTAAGGAAGATATGTCTTACCATCGACAAAAGGTGCTGTGCTTGCTGTACCTCCAGGGCGAATGAAACTAAAACAACATGATGAACGTATATGGAATGATAAGATCTCGTAACCTAAGGCCAAGAAAAATATAAATGTCCACATGAGGACATCTTATGTTTTCTGAATTTCTGATTTGTTTTTAGTGATGTCTTCCTAGGCACTCGTCTTCTCACCATTTACAATTCCACCCGACGGACTGTGTGTTAGTGGATCATGCAGATGTTATTATTTTTCCTTTCATGAGTCCGATCAACATCTTCTGACACAGGAATAAAATTGCATGTTCACTACACTATATCCTTTTTTCATTTGAACTATCAAGCATTTTGGCTTGTTATTATTTTAAGCAGCGAGTAAGTTATGGTATAAGTATGACGATTAATTCTGCATGAGACGATCGTTCAACGGGAGGTAACTCGTAGTTTGTGCTATACCATATATAAAAGCATTGTTATATAAGTTGCGGTTTGAAGAAAGCGATCGATTTTATTTTTCAAACTGTAAACATGTTTCCAGTGAACATGCCTGCTAAAAATAATTATAGAAATTAATTTATCCAAGTATATAGCCATACTTCACTCTAAAAATGCCTCAAATTAGACACGTAAAATGTAGACAGTATCATATACACTAGGCTTAAATACGTCTGCCCAAATCGCAATGGAGTACGAGAAGTTTCATTTTTTGCTGGCGGAGTATGCCAACGGAAGGTTCGTGACTCCTGTGCAAGGATAGTCAAGTCAATTCAAGTAAAGTATATTTAAAAGTCGGTACATGGTTAAACATGGAAACACAAGCCTATGATAAGCTTTTACAACCGTGTATATAACAAATAAAACGGAAGTAGCATAAGATAAAACATAACAAGCATACAAAGGGACTATTTCCAGCTATGTTAAAAATACATAAGAGTCTGCCCCCTCGTAAGTTCCGTTTCAGAAGTGCTACGAGATTTATTCTGCTGTGTTAACTTTTGCCAATCCCTTATACATCTGGAGTTATTATTTGAATCATTCTACTTATTATTTAGAACGCATTTCTGGAAGGAATCGTCCTATAGTTGCTCGCTTCATTTATAACGCAGATCGACAAGCAGTGTTGGAAAGAGGCTACCTCCTTCGTGGAAAACAGTTTGGTATAAGTGAGCAGTTTCCGGCAACGGATGAAGAGCGTCGCAAGCCTCTTTACCCTGTAATGAAAAGATACAGATCCAAAGGTTGCAGTGTAAAACTAGTTCGTAATAAGATGTACGTTAACGGCAGGTTGTTTGATGGTTCTACGGAGGAATTAGACAAAGAACTTGGTTTTCCAGAAAGACATCAGACAGAATCTAGACTTAACCGTGGTTCTTACAGAGATGCTGTACAGGCTCCCCTCATTGACTTTACTACACCGAGTAACAGCAGAAACCCTAAACGGCAACGTATTTCGTCGTCTCCAATGGAAGACACGTCTGGGTCACATAATGTGCGAGAGCTAATCGCAAGTCTGATTCGTCTATGGCTGGCCCTTCTCCAGCGTTCGTACCGGAACAATCACTTCGTGTTTATTCACCACACGCATCAGTTGTGAAACAGCGTCCATCAACCAATCAGACTTTAGTAGTGGAGGCTGAAGTCTATGGGCCTCGAGAGGTCAATAGGAATTCAAACATTCCCGCTCAGCAACATAACAAGCCACGCATGTCACAGTCATCCAGTACATCTGTTGTACTTCCTATTACCTTCTTTTACAGTATAGGTACTAGTTTTATTGACTATGTATTTACTTTTGATACTATTATTGGTGATATTATCAATTTTGAAAGTGGGGTATTTAATGCTTTATCAGACCATTCTCCGATATGTGTTACTTTGCGTTCAAAAGTTGTAAATTATGTCCAGGAACAAGTTGGTAATCAGAATCTGACACGTATAAGATGGAATGATAATAATACAGAGACTTTACGTCATATTTTAGAAAATAATAGAAACGAGTTATCTTATTGTTGTGACAGTAATGATGTGAGCCAAACTGATATCAATGAAAGTGTTAAAAAAATACTGATATTCTGACAGAGCTGTTATTACCTCTTAGTGTTGTTACCCATCATGTACGTGATTATAAGAAGAAAAAGGGCAAAGAAGATAAACCCTGGTTCAATGAAATTTGCAAACTTCGCTATATGGAATATAAGAATGCTTTATTTATGTTCAATTCATGTAAGAACAAAGAAAATCATGATGCACTTGTTTAAAAAAAACGCAGTTATAAGAAAATGGAACTTAAGTTGAAGAGGCAGTACAAAACACATCAAGGTAACATGGTGAACTTCATGAGAAAAAAATAATCCAAAACATTTTTATAGATATTTCAATAACAGAAAGAATAATGTGAAGTCTTCACTTGATGAACATGTTTTTTATCTACATTTTAGTAATTTGTCATTCAAGAAACCTTGTGGAAATGAGTCTGTAACCGAATTTTTGAGAAATTATGATGCCACTAATGATATACCTAAAGCTATGTTTTATGATCTGGACATCGACATTTTTAAAGAAGAAGTTAATAAAGTAATCAATAACTTAAGCACAGATAAAGCATGTGGCCATGATTTGTTAATTAATGAGTTTTTTATCAGAGGTAAAGAGGTTTTATTACCTTGTCTTGTTAATTTATTTAATAAAATTTTCAAATCTGGTAACTATCCTTCCATATGGTCAATAGGTAATATTATTCCCTTATTTAAGAAGGGGTATAAGAATGACACAAATAATTATAGAGGAATTACTCTAGTTAGTTTTTTAGCCAAAATATTTACAGCAACCTTAAATAATCGACTTATGGAATTTGATACCGCTGATTCTAAAATAAGTGACGCTCAATTTGGTTTTAGAAAGCATATGTCAACCACAGATGCTGTGTTTGTCTTGCAATCGTTAATTAATAGAACTTTAAAGAAGAAAAAGAAGCTATATTGTTGTTTCACAGATTATAAGAAAGCTTTCGATTTTGTTAACAGATATAATTTGTGGTTTAAACTAATTAAGGAAGGAGTAGAAGGTAAACTGTTAAATATGATACGTTCTTTATATAACGATGTAAAATGTTGTGTTAAATTCAACAATTCAATGTCTAATTTCTTCGAATGCAGGAATGGTTTGTTCCAAGGCGAAATATTGTCACCGTTTTTATTTTCTCTTTATGTGAATGATTGTGAGATGCATTTTTTAACTGATAACTGTCCTTCTATAGAACTCCAAACTATTAACTTATTTCTTCTAATGTACGCAGATGATATGGTTTTGTTAGCTGAATCGGCAGAGGGGTTGGAAAAGATGTTAGACACACTATTACAATACACTAAAAAATGGAATCTAACTGTTAATGTTGAAAAAAATAGTCATAATGTTTAGAAATGGTGGTAAGTTGAAGGAGGAAGAAAATGGTTTTATGATGGTAATGCTTTAGAAAATGTTGATAGTTTTAGCTACCTTGGAATTCTAATGAAATTCAATGGTAAATTTAGTATTACACAAGAGAAATTAGCAGAACAAGGTAGGAAAGCACTTTATGCTGTATCCAATGTTTGTAAAAGGAAATATTTTAATATTGAAACCCAACTTAGCGTTTTTGATACTTTTGTGTGCAGTGTCCTAAACTATGGAACTGAAGTTTGGGGCTTTCGCAAAGCTCCAGATATTGAGAAAGTGCATTTGAATTTTTGTAAACGAATTTTGGGGGTTAAGAAATGCACACCTTATGTAATGATTTATCAAGAATTAGGGAGGATACCTTTACATATGATTAGAAAATTTAGAATTTTTAAATATTGGCTTAAACTTTCGGACAATTGCATTTTAAAGGCTTGTTACGATGAGATGATTGTAAAGGGCAGCGACTGGACAAATAACATAAGAAATGAATTATATAGGTTAGGTTTGGGATATTTATGGCTAACAGAGGGTAATGAAGGTCAAATTCTGAATATTATTAAATGTAGAATGCATGATATTTTTCATCAGGAGTGTCTAGATTTAATTAATTCATCTGCAAAGTGTTCTCTTTATAAATCGATCTGTGGTATTTTTGTGTCTTAAACAGTATTTAATTAAACCTATTGGATTACAAAATATAAAACAAATTGCTAAAATTCGGTTGTCATCGCATACGTTGACTATTGAAACGGGTAGATTTCATGGTTTAGAGAGAAAAGATAGAATTTATATATATTGTAACACTGGCCATATTGAAGACGAATATCATTTTTTTATTAGATGTAGTCATTATACTTATTTAAGAAACCGTTTCATTAAAAAATATTATCATAAAAAACCTAGTATGGCAATTTTTTTTAGATTTGATGACAACAGGAAATAATAAAGAACTGTCTAATTTAGCCAACTATCTGAACTAATGTCAAACAAGGAGATTCAATACTGTTTAGGATTAAAGGAATCACTCTCTACACTTTCTCTGTGACTGTATCGTGTATGCATGTATTCTCTGTATTCCCATATATATATGTACTGCATAATTTGCACTGTATATATGCACTGTACTGATAAACCGCAAGGTTTAAGGCAATAAAGAATGAATGAAAAGATGATCAATTAACCTAATTACAGTACGGGGTCGAAAAATGGCATTTCAATCTGAAAATATTTTTCTGGAAAAGAAAATCATTTATTTTGTATCATTATACTCGGGAAAGAACATTTTCTTTCATCTGAAGCTGAAATAATATCTTTATCGCGGATGATAGGATAATCGAACATTTTGTGAAACTTTTAATGTAAAATGCAGGATTTTTTTATCCTTATCATTCTTGTATACCAAAACTTGTCATAGTATGAAGAAGTGGTGTCATTGCATAAACGTATGCAAAAAAAGTGGTTGAAAGTATTAATTTAGCACAACGAAGTACCCTATGTACCTAAAAAGGTGAGGGTCTAAGACACCTCCCTGGTGTTCATCAAAACACAATGCACCTGATTACAGGTAATTGGTAATGAAATTCGTTGCAAGCCTGTTAGGTCACATGTTACCTTTTATAATTTGTTATTATACATTTTGTTATTAGAGTTTTGTTTTACATTGCATTTAGTGGGTATTTCATACTCATTTGTTAATATTCATCTCGTGCATCGAGGGTACTTTATTATCTTGGCTATGATAGCAATCTTCAAAATCCAGAACAGTTGCAACCAAGGTCTAAGAAGATCCGACAAAGCTTGAAATATGTTGTTTTCTTGTGAATCTAAAAACACCAGTTTGAAAACAAACTCAAAGCCTCGCATTATTCCTTCTTTTTTCCAAGTCTGCCATTCGAAAACATGTCATACTCTTGCATCTTATAAAACATCATCTGTAAATGTCATCAGCTGTTAATAGGGCGTCAAACTTTAAAATGTATATAAAAACAAAGTAACAAACAAACACAAAATGTTGGAATTACTTTGATATTGTAAGAAAGTTGTCTGGGAATCTGACAACTGATAAGGCAGTAGAATTAATGTTTTGGTGGTCACCTTGAAAAGGAGTAAACCAAAGAACATCTTCTCTGTTGGTTAACTGTTCATTCCATCCAAACTGGAACATAGCCATGAATTATAATGTATAGACCATTTGGTCATTTGATTCCTTCTTTGAATATGTTTCACCACATATTTTGGATTGACTTTTTTTGTCACTGGAAGTTCATGACCAAGTCCTTCAAAATAGAAAAATATTTTTGGTATACAAAAGTAAAAACTCCGACTTTTTGAGAATTTCAGTTTTATGCTTCTCAGAAAAACGAACCAAGTGCTTATTTGAATTTTAATGTTGCTTTTTTTGTTGTGATAAGGTTTAGGTCTTCACCTCACCAAAAGAAAATTGAAATCAAAGGAGGGGCCATTTTGGAAAACCCTTTATGTTGTTAACAGCTATTAACACATGAGGTATATATAAGCACATTGTGTGATTCCAGAATGATTCCAGAATTTGGCACATACATTAGGATAAACCTTCATAATTTTATATTTCATTAAAACAAACAGTCAAAAAAAGGAGGTTACAGCGTCCCAGACCCTGAGCTTTCCAAGGGTGGGGGAGATCCCAGGTTCCACCACTGCCCGACCTGGATAATAATGGTTTAGGTGTAAACCAGATTACGTAAGACATTCTGATTACATGTTGCCTTATAGGAAAACAGGCTAATCACTATTGCCTTCAACAGTGAAGGGAGATAACTCATCTGTACATCGCATAGTGGCAACTGTCACCATTTCATGTTTTTTTAAATTATTTTCCAAAAGTTATTAAAAGATGTGAATAACCTTACATGGTCTGGCAGCGAGTCCCACGTAGAGGTAGCTAAAACTAAAACTATTTGTTCCATACTAACTGGTCTGCTTCTAGGGACTTCTAACATTTTATTGTACCTGGAATTACTGGATGATTTTTTTACGTGAATAAAATCCTGTAGATAACAGGTGCTTTGTCCATTAAAAGTTATAAAAGTTTCAATAGCTACTTGCCAGAGTGTTGATACACACATTTAAGGGCTCTATAATGTTTTTTCTTCTCTCTTTCAAGTTCCTGGGTGTTTG